TTCAGAAACTTAACAAAGGTTGGTGTGGGTGGAAGGGGCTGAGGGGAGGAAAAGAGAGAGGCCGAGAGGGGGACAGAGAGTAAGAGCAAGGAGGCGGAAGAGAAAAGACCAGGGCAAAGAGGGACAGAAGGCAAGACAGGGGAGAAGAAAATTAAAAGAAAAAAAAAGACATATCTGAAGCAAAGATAAGAAGAGAGAGATCAGGCTACACAGTCTTGGTTAAAAAACTAGGTGTTTTCTAAGAACGAGATGGAGGGGCACCCGGGTGGCTAAGTCAGTGAAGCATCCTTGGTTTTGGCTCAGATCACGATCTCACAGTGCGCACCGACAATGCAGAGCCTGCTTGGGATGCTCTCTCTCTCTGTCTCTCTCTCTGCTCCTCCTTCCCACACGCTCTTTCTCTCTCTCTCTCTCTCTCTCTCAAAGTTAATAAATAAACTTAAAAACAGATGGGAAGCCCACCATTTGGGTTTAAACACAATCCTAAGAGTTTTGCAAAGATCGCTCCAGGGACTGTCCATTAAAACGCTAATTAAACACATCCATTTATCTCTGTTTCCTCTCAAAACCCCACCAAATTGGCAATGAATGTCTAATAAAGGATACGACAAACGCACAAGGACAAAGCGATCAGAAGCAACAAGAGAGGAAAAACCCACGAAGAAAAACTGGAAAGGTGAAAAACAGGCCGGTGAGTGGTATGGTGAGCTGACCTGAAGAAACTGACCGCTGACGCTACAGAAGGCACAAGAAGGGGAAGCCACAGGAGGGGCCATCGCCGTGAGGCCAGGCGGGGAAATCTTGAGGGACAGACTACTGAAAGCGAGTAGGGGCTCAAGGTGGACACAGCAGAACGGACGGAAAATTCCGTAAGTAACAAGTAGATCACCTCGCTCCCGTCCCTGCCTCCATTTCTGCTCCGCAGAAATTTTCCAGAAAAGGTACCGGAAATCTCTCTAGACGGGGTGAACAAAGACGCTCCCGCCCCGGGGTGCCAAGAAGAGCAAGCGATGGCAGGTAAGACCATCCAGTCAACCCCTCGTGGCTACTTGGCCATCCAAAGCTCGACCACGAATTTATACCACAGACAGAACGTTGGAAGGTTACTTTCCGGATGCTAACTCGCCCAAGGGAAATTCCGACACTTAAGAGTACACCAAAAACAAAAATTATACATCACGGCATCACACTGCTTTACCACACATTCTACAATCTCCGACACCACCAGGAACTCATCAGTAGCTTTTTAGATGAAATTCTTTAAATTTCTTTAAAATTTTATTTACTTAGCTTTTTAGTAATTTCCACACCCAACGCAGGGCTTGAACTGACGACCCCAAGATCAAGAGTCGCATACGCTTCTCACTGAGCCAGCCAAGTACCCCCCAAAAGATTACTTTCAACATGAACACATAGCCAGGATCAGAAATCCACTGGAGAATGAAACAGAAGAAACTCATTTCCTATGAGACACTGCAGGGAACAGAACAAAACTTAGAACAACAACAACAACAACAACAAAAAACCTAACCAAAACCTGTAATTGAGACTCTTGCACAAACAAGAATTAGATGCTGTAAGACAGAAACATTTAGAGAGGGGCGCCTGGGTGGCTCAGCCGGTTGAGCGTCCGTCCAACTTCAGCTCAGGTCAGGATCTCATGGCTCATAAGTTTGAGCCCCGCATCAGGCTCACAGCTGCCAACACAGAGCGGGCTTCTGATCCTTTGTACTCCACTCTCTGTCTCTGCCCCTCCCCCGATCATGCTCGTTCGCTCTCTCCCTCCCTCTCTCTCTCTCTCAATAATGACTGAACATTAAAGAAAAGCATTTAGAAAACAGAAAGTTCTTGAAAATTAAAATTATGACAGCAGAAGCTTAAAAATTCGAAGGATTGGGAAAAAAACCTTTATTTTTAGACAAAGTAAGTTGAGATAATTACCTCAAAAGTAGAACAAAAAAATACAGTACAGAAAACAGAAGAGAATATTAGAAAATTAATGACGATGGTCTAATATCTGAGTAACAGGAATTCCAAAGAGAGAAGCTATCAAAGAAACAATGAAGACAACTTCTCAGAGCTGAAGGACCTACCGTTTCCAAGATTAAAAGGGCCTGCCCACCCTGCTGATTCATCAGAATGAATAAAAAACCCTACACCAAGGCATTTCACTGTGCATTTCTGAACATCAATAAAGAGAAGATCCTAAAAGCACAGAGGAAGGGGAAGGGTTTGAAAAGAAAATAGATTTGAATCTGGAAGTTAAAAGACAGTGGAGCAAAGCTTCAAATTCTGACAGAAATTATCACTACTATTACTTAACTATGTACTAGAGATACTAGCTAACACAATCACTCCAAAGCAACTGAAACTATCGAAATTAGAAAGTAGGAAATGTAACTACAATTATTTGAAGATATGACTCTGTATCGGGGAAACCCAAGAAATCTAGTGAAAAACTATCCAAACACTAAGGTATCTGGGCACAAATTTTACAGAAATTGATAAATTTCACGTGTACCGATAATAGGCAATCTAAGAAGAAAGAATGGCAGGGGTGGGGGGAAGGGAGGGGATTCCCATTTACAACAGCAACAAGAAAAAAAATACCTAGTAAACTTAGTGTGCCACAACAACATAAGAACAACTTAAGCACTGAAGGACAGACAGTAAAGTAGGTGTGAATGAATTCAACGATATATACCATTGTCGTGGTTACGAAACTCAACATCTACAAACACATATGCTCCTTAAGTTTAATAATAAACATGTCATCTTATAAAATAAAAATACCACCAGGTTTATAGATTTTTTAACTAAAAAAGCTGATTCTAGAATTTATACAGAAAATTAAACAGTTTTAGGAAACAACAAAAAACAATGAAATGAAGCTGAGAAAGAATGAACTACCAGATTTTAAAATGTCATCCAAAAAAAAAAGTTAGTCATGAAGGGGTGCCTGGTTAGCTCAGTCAGTTAAGCAACCACGCTTGGGATTCTCTCTCTCTCCTTCCTTCCCTCCCTCCCTCTCTCTCTCCCTCTCTCTCTCTCTCTCTCTCTGCCCCTCCCCTGCTCACTTGCTTACTCACTCTCTCTCAATAAATAAGCAAACATTAAAAAGAAATGACAGTCATTCAAACATTAATGTGAAAGAAGTACTGTCTTAAACCAGTGGGGAAAAGCTAGACTATTCGATAAATAGCTTTTGGGCCACTGGAGAGTCTTCTGAGAGGGAAGGGTGGGGGAGCTGAATACATACCTTATATCCTATAAATATTCCAAATACATAAAAATTTAATATGGGAAGAAAATAAAACCGTAAGTACACTAGAAGAAACAATGAGAAAATTCCCGTAGAAAAGGCCTTTCTAACTATGATTCAAAACCCAAAAGGATAAAAGAAGTTTGATCAATTACACCATGTATACAAATGTCTGCATGGAAAAAAAAAAAAACTGAGCGGTCAAAAGAGAAATGACAAATTAAAAAGAAAATGATCAAAAAGGACAAATCTCTCCAGCTCCTATAAATCGACAGACAATTCAACTGGAAATAAAAATGAGCCAACAATACGAACAAAGAAAAAAAAGGCAACAGAAACAGATCAAAAACATAAAAATGACAAGCAACATGCTCATTAAGAGTAAATACAAAATAAAACCGCACTGAGATTCAATTTCACATCCATCAGGTAGACAAAAATCCACAAGCTTGAAGAAGTACTGTTGGTAAAAGGCTCTCTGCAAGGGTTTACGGTCACATATCCACAGACCTAACAACCACAACTGGGTCTATCTTTATGCACACGTACAATTAAGTATGCATAAGTCAGTCCCTGCAGCACTGATTATACCAGCAAAACAGTAAAAACAACTCAAATGCCTACTGATCAGGAACTAGAGCAATAAATTACAGCATGTCCACAGAATGGACTATTACATGGCTATAAATTATGGAGGCATAGCATGGTGGTTCAGAGCATGGACTCTGGAACCATACTGTCTGGATTTGAATTCTGGCTCAGATGCTCACTTATTATGTGACCCTGGAAAAGGTATTTCACCTCTCTATGCCCACACATCTCTGTTAGTCGAGAAGGCTAATAGTACCTGTATCACAAGGTAGTTACGAGGATTGAGTTGGGACCTATTTGTAAACTATTGAGAATAGTGTTTGGTATACACTAAACATACCTAAACAAAAAGATTTCCAAAATATAGTTAATAAGGAAAAAGGAACATACAGAACACTGCATGGTTTACAATTTGTATATATTAAAAAGTGAGGAAGGGATGAAAGGAATTAAGAATGTATCATTGTAACTCAGGAAGAATATAAAATAAAGATTAGTGGGAGAAAAGGGAGAGACTGGGGATGTAACAGGTATGAGAGATTTTTTTCCCACTGCAAACCCTTTTCTACGTTTTAAAAAACTGGTTCATATTAACCTATTCAAAATTAATAAAAAGAATTTTCCAAGGACAGTCTAGAATTTTATACCCAGTTATACTGTCAATAAGTGTAAAAATAGAATAAAGATATTTTCAGACTTACAAAGACTCAAAAAACTCACCTTTCTCAGGAAGCTACAGGAGGATGTGCTCCAATAAATCAAAAGAATAAATCAAGGAAAAAAGCAAGAAACAGGGTATCCAACACAAAGGGAGAGACAATGAGAATTCCCAGGATAATAGTGAAGGGAAGCTCCAGTTCTAAAGTGTGAGTGTGAGCAGGCTTAGAGCTCAACCAGCCCAGATAGGAACAGAAGGACAGAGGCTCCGGGGGCAATTTCTCTAAGGGGGAGAAAAAAAAAGGAACTGATAGGTTACCTATTTTTGACCATATGGGAAGGTGTTTCGTGACTCTGGCAAAAAGTCTGGAATAAAGTGGTGGTCAATATTTTCTCATTTGCTTATTAGAGTTCTATAATAAGGCAATTATTAACCCGAGGAAAACAAAAATCAAAAAACAAAATACAAAAGAAAGGAAATATAGTCATGGTTTACTCTGTGGTGCAGCTATGAACAGTATTTACCCCGTTATACTAATGTCAACACTTTTAACTCAAAACTTATGGGTTCAATGGTAGGATGTGAGTGAGTGAGTGAGTATGTTTGGTTAACGAAAGGGGGTATGAAAGATAAAGCCTCATCCTACACAGGACAAAGTCATTAGCTGAGTTAAATACTTAAAAAAAAAAAAAAATCAAGCAATAGTATCATAAGCATATTATTTTTAAATAAAGAGAAAAATGCCAGAAGAAACAACTTGAAGGGTTTTTGGGGGTTTTTTTGTTGTTGTTGTCATCTTCTCTTCATTTAGAAACATTATCAGGGAAAATACAAATGGAGTTTTGTAACTGTGAAGAAAGGTAAGTGAATATGAATTTTGTCGTCAAAAACAAAATCCCTCAAGCGGTATTTATGTGTCACCTATCTCTATCAACAGAGGTAACATTCCTGAAACAGAACGTATACTACAGTGAAAGTAGCTATAATACTGTTCAACCTGTCTTTGACAGTTACTATTTAGTACAGACGTCAACTCTCCTTCTTTCTTGAACGTACGATAAACTTGAACTTACAAATGAGGCAGAACTAAATGACAAATAATGAAGGGTGGCAAGGCCTTTCCAGTGTCACCGATATGACAGCTGTATGTATTGTTTATGTGATGTTCTTAAATAGAAGATAAGGGGCATGCAACAATTAGACATGTCTGAAATCTCTAATCTGACTAAGGTAAACTGAACTGAGCAAGCTTCAAAAAGGAGACAGGGTAGAGGCAGTACTGACAGTCATAAAATGTCCCCTCATGCACAAACCACAATGGAGCTTTCTAACAGTCTGTTTTCTGTATGGGTATGTGTGTGTGGAATCCCTAAGAACAACCACATCTAGGCTGTAGTTAAAAAACAGCATCCTAATGGCTACCAACAGGCTTAAGGTCACTTCACATGAGAATTTTTCTCTTTCCAAATAAAACCAGTAAGAATCAGGTATACTCATTCTTGTTAGTGCATTTGATTGAAATCATATTGTAAAATACTGTAAATCCTTACTCCGGCCTCTCATTGATTGTTCCCAATTTTGCTAGAAGCCTAAACAGTCTTCCATTTTGAACCTCCTATAAGACATTTTAAAAAGAGAGAGAATGTTAATATTCCAGCAAAATTTTATGAACCTGGTATCCTACACCAATATTACCTTTAAACCGTAAATCCTAATATCCCCACCTTTTGGTAATCATTTTGAATGTAACATGTCCATTTCATTCGATATTAATACTCAAGATGATCATGCAGCTGGCCATTTTTAAGAATGGTTAAAGTTACATGGGAAAAAAAAAAATCAAGATTCTGTCAATTAACTGGAGCAAAGCCACAAACAAAAAGCAGAACACAAATGCCCAGAGGACATAAGAAATTAAAAAAAAAATTTTTTTTAAGTTAAAAAATATCTGTAAACAGTCCTAGCCAATTCGGCACAAAAATTACTGTTTTCTAACTCTTTGCACATACAGATGTCATTGTATATATCTTTTTCTAACTCTTTACCTTTGCAAGGTCTTCCTCTATGACATCATTTCTCATTTGAGCAGCATCCAACTGAGTATAAAATCGAGCACCAATCATGGGCATGATGTCATTTACACTTCGCATCCTGTTTTGGTCAGTCAACAAATACCTAGTGAAAATAAAGAATCACCTGAATGCCAAATGTGCAATTTAATTTTTTTTTAATTTTTAAAAAATGTTTTATTTATTCTTGAGAGAGAGAGAGAGAGCGCGCGAGCAGGCGTGCACATGCATGAGCAGGGGAGGGGCAAAGTGAGAAAAGGACACAGAACCGGAAGCAGGCTCCAGGCTGCCAGCACAGAGCCCGACACGGGGCTTGAACTCACTCACAAGCCGTGGTGAGATCATGACCTGAGCCAGAGTCGGATACTCAACCGACTGAGCCACCCAGGCGCCCCTCAAATTGTGCAATTTAAAAAAACAAACACAACACACAAGCACATAGCTATCGCTGCTGCCGTCACAGAAGTGTATACAATTTGAAAAGATTTTTTTCATCAAGTCAACCTCACTTTTAAGCGTTGATGATTTCTCTGGGAAATTTTAAGAGCCAATGGAAGAAACTGTAAACATGTCTCTTTCTCTACAGCTTTGCTATTATGAAAATGAAAAAGGGAAGTTGAGTAGGGTTACACTTCACCATTTGCATTCTCAAACCCTTCCTTACAATAGTGGGACACGAAAAGGCTGTTACAAGCTTTTTTGGAGGGGTGAAATAGGGGGCAGCTGTAGGTGAGGTGAAGAGATTTTTCCATTTGCTCTTCAAAATAATTTGTGTGGGGGTGCCTGGGGGGCTCCGTCGGTTGAGCGTCCGACTTCGGCTTGGGTCATGATCCCACATCTTGTGGGTTTGAGCCTCACACTGGGCTCAAACAAGGTTCCAACTTTTTAGAAAGGTGTCCTCTGCTCTACAATGTCATTTACCAGTTGTCATCATCTATTTATTTCTGAAAAACTGTCACGCACTAACATATATCAGAAGAGGCCAATTTCTCCTACCATTACAACTGAGGCCAAAAAAAACCCCCAAAAAACCAAAAAAATCCGTTTCAAAAAGCGACCTGCTAGAATACAAAGATGATCATGACCTATTACTGCCTATTCTGACAGGTGAGCCGTTTCCTAGCCATCCTTGGGACGGGAGCCTCCCGCTCTCGCACTCTCTGCTTAAAATTCTATCCCATTTTCTTCAGGGGACTTAGCGCTACCTGCCAACATCTTACATGTTTCCATGTTTGTTACCTCCTCCCCATTAGGGTGGAAGCTCCAGAAGTTGGGGGGTTTTGTTCATCTTGTTCAAGGTATCTTCAGGGTCTGGCACAGGATAGGCATTCTTTTGTTAAATAAAATCCTCCTGTTGGTAATCTATGCCTTAGCTATTTATCTGTAACTACTGACATATTTACATCTTGACTACTTAAAGTTATTACAAGCTTTGTGACTTTGGCAAGTTACTTTACCTCTCTAAGCCTCAGTTCTGTCATCTCTAAAATGGAGCTAACTTATAGGGTTATTGGGAAAATTCATTTGTATCAGTTAGAAAGTGCCTGATACATGGTTTACCGCTCTATAAAGTTGTTACTTAGTATGCAAGTATGGCTTTTTAATTTACTTTTGATTAAGGAAAATTTCAAACATTCATAAAAGTAGAGAGAACAGTATAACAAATGTCCATGTACCCTTTGCCCAGTTTTGGCAATTATTAAGTATTAAGTATGGCTGGCTAGTTTGTAACATTTATATCCTTTACTCTCAACTTTTTAAAAAGGAAGTTTGGAGATTACTACTTTGAGATGTTGCAAATGAAGGCTAGGAATTGCTGCTGTGAAAATACGTGGAACAAATATTTTCACTTGAAAGAGAAATCACGTGAGTATTCCCCGGAAGCAGGCAATCACTGGCTTCCGGTGCTCGGTCACAAGCACGGCACTTATGCCAGCGTAACAAAGTACAAGTGGGCAGCCCCATCCTCTGGCCCTCAATTTCGTATCCGGAGCTAGTCCAAAAAGAAACTGAATCCTCCAAGACTACACAGAAAAATCAGAAGGAACAGCTGAAGACTAAGGCACTGAAAAGGACCAATATGCTCCAGCTGCTTCTAGAACATAACAGAAAAAATTTCGAGAGATACCGTAGCATCTGTTCTCTGCAATCACTGCTAATGACAGTAAGAATTATGGCGGTCCACGCTCTGGAATTCCCCGATGTTAGATGCGTCTGAGACAAGGAGAAGTCCCCCTGCGGTGACAGGAGTCCACAGTGGGGCTCTCCTAAGTCAAATGCATTTCAAGGACTTCTTGGGCGTCTAGAGATCCTGGAGTAGAAGCCTGGGACCCTTACATACATGCTTTCTGTAATGGCTGTTTTGGCCACAGAATCTGTAACTGGATTGCATCTGAGGTTTATTTGTGACAGCTCGCACAAAGAGAACAACCACTCTCTAGAGCAGCACTGTCTGACAGAATTTTCTGAAATGATGGGATATATTAGCCAGAAGCCACATGAAGCTTTTGAGCTCTTGAAATGTGGCCGGTGCAAGATTGATTTCTTTAACTTTATTGTATTTTAATTAAACTAAGTCATATGTAGCTAGTGAATACCAATGCAACCTCAGTGGGTACCCTCTGACCAAACATTTAAAACATCGGTAACTAAACACATTGGTTCACGAATTTATTCAAGGAAATATACACTTAACAATAAAAATAAAGAAATTTAAAGTTGTTTAACTGTGTTTTGCCTGATTTTGAACAGTAGGAACTAAAATAATGAATAGAAGCTCTATCAGAAGGCCTGTGTGGACGCAAAGCTGTCTCATCTCCTACGATCGTCATATGTGTTTAATTGTATATCACAACTTACAGAATCAGGTTCTTCAGGTCAGAGGAGTAGTTGATTGTCACCAGTTCCATGGCTTTCTGTAAATTCTCTCGCTGAATTCCTGCCAAAGAGTTGCAAGCCAAAGCCAACACAACTTTTCCTAATGATATCAGATCTGCTTGCTGACATGAAAGAATAAATATAACTTTTAATTTTTATTTTACACGTACAAATTTAACACAGTGACACTACTGCCTGCATGGAAAAGGCACCTTTACAAAGAGGCTGCAAAACTCAGCACAGGGCTCTCCGATAGTGGTGCCCAGAGTCACCCGGGAGCTTGAAGGGGCTTCCCGGGCCTCTCCACCAGAGAGTCTCATTCGGTAAGTCTGGGGGAGCAGGCCCAACATTTTTAAAGCACCCAGGTAATTCTGATAAATGTAGTTAGGGCTATGCTCTAAGCAATTCATATGCCAGCTACAGAATTGTTGCTTCAAACTTTTAAAAAAAAACTTATTTAGATAGAGCTGACGTTCCTAGTATTAAGGCTGGTCACCACATATTCACCTGACTACGATCGTTACAATCTACAATATGCCCCTCTCTCGCTTTCCATCATCCCCAAATACAGTGGGAGTTTGGAGAATTATTTGAAGAAAAGCTATTCCATCATTCAGAATGTAACAGAACTATTACCTGATTTCAGGGTATGTTCTTCAGAACATCGAGAATGCTGCCAGCCCCAGTGACATCCCTTCTGCCCTTATTTCCAAATGGCCCATTTTTACTCACATTACAACAGATCTTTGAGCTCTGTAACCACCTGGTTTCTTTTTCCTTCTTTTCTTTTCTTTCTTTCTTCCTCTCTCTCTTTCTTCTTTTTCTTTCTCCATTTACCTATCTATTTTTTTATGATTTACCACTGTGAGGCTTTTGCTCTAAAAGGATTTTCAAAGATAGCTGGCTACATTGAGGTAAGCTCTCTATTACCTGTCTAACTCCAGGAAACAGAATGGTTATCCCCAGTGGCCCTTCTTGGCAGGTAACTATTAATAATTTTATGCCTAGGAGAACGGAATAGCTCCGAGTTAAATAAAATCATTTGAAGTAATTGTGACAGAAAACTTCTGTAAATCTTCAAAATCTGAGACCTGATCTCAAATATCGGATACATTTACTGAATACTGGTCTAGTAAAAGGAGTTTTCAAAGCTAGCTATACATTAAAATCACCCGAGGAGCTCAAAAACATCAAACAGAAGAAGTAACCCTGTGGCTATCCCTTCACTCCAATTCTGGTATTATTAGTCTGGGTTAAGATCTAGGTATTAGTGTTTTTCAAAGCTTCCGCAACAGTTCTGATACTGAGGTCATGATGGAGAACCACTGGTTTTGTGGAATGTTTATACATAGTATAGTCGCAAAACAGGCAAATATTTCAAGACAGTCACTAATGAAACTTTAGCACTCTACAGCTATCCTCAACATTTTACCCAAATAAGAACGTATAAAGAAGCCAAACTCCATTACTAACATTAAAAAGTTCAAATTCAAAAATTCATTCAGTACTAGCATTTGTGAATTTGACGCTCTGAACAGGAGACCCTATTATAATCAGTGGAAAAACGGATTAGAAAAACTACTTTGATTCTATTGTGGTACGAGATGCCAAGGATTCATGTCAAAGAAACTTTTTAAAACTTCACTTGTGGTACAGACTTAGGAGCCCAGAAAGGGAGGAGGTAGGGTGGCACGGGAGGGAGCACTATTGGTGTTCGATCATTTCCGTTCTCGGAGGGGCACTGCCATGAATGAACTCAAGAAGGATTCCCCTCAGTCCTTCTCAGGATCGAGTAAAACATTCCAAGTGATAGTAATGAAACCATAAAAATCTTGGTCAAGACAAATTGGTACATGTAAATGCGAACTGTAAATTTCTCTAAGTGTTTCAATCCCATATCCTCAGCAAAGCAAACTGAAAGTTGCTATTATTTATCAAGTGTCTGAGCAGCATGTACCAACACACAGCCTCCCAAACCCTTAAAACAACAGAATTTTCAGTTTAGCCCCACCCTCAATTGATGCTGTAACTAAACCTCCCACCTAGAACATTCCGGTATTCCCTAGTATGAGCCAGGAAAACAAAAGTCCAAGACAGCCGAAGGACTGGATGGGTTTTTAAAATAAGAACATCTGATTTTTGAGTGTGTCCCACCGCTTTCTAAAGCTGACTCAAGGTGGAATACGCACGTTTAGAAATAAAGTCTATAGGTCACATAATCCAGATTAAATTAGAACGGATTTGTTTTTAAGTAAGAGGTTAATGACGTCCTGCTTAAAATTAAGAGAGTTCAACATCATAAAAGCCCAATAACTCTCCTTTCCTTATTTGCCAGCTAAATAGTTTTCCGTTTGTTATTTTGCTTCTTACCTCCATCTGGTTTTTCCCCCCATTTGTTGAATTCTGGAGGTTTTCCCCCCACTCATTTTCAGTTTCTTCCTGATTCTTGATTTCTTGATTTTTCTGATTCTATCTATGGCTCTACTTATGTCCACTTTACTGAAAGTCAGTCTCTATTCACGTGTCTGAAACAGACTATGAAAAAGAGACTACAAGAAACAATGCACTCCTTTCTCACGTACCCTCTTCTCCGTAAAATCACAATCCCCCACTTGGGACTATCTTTAATTCTCTCCTTTACCTTCCTATGTAACCTGTGTGAAAAATCTTCCCCACAAACATAACCCACCCCCCAAAATTAAGGAAAAGAAAGAAAAAGAAGGAAACCTGAGATATCCTTTTAGTGCTGGAAAATAAAGGGAAGGTGACAGCTGGCTGAAAGCAGGAGGCAGCTCCTAATTGGCCAATCAACTGCCCCAAGTGCTTACTGAAGAGCTGTTTGTTTGGAACTCTGGGATTACTTTTCCTGCAAAAGAGTGTTTCAAGGTGGCTACCTATCACTAATGTAACTGAAACGATGTACCTCTACAAAGAAAAAATGGGAAATGATACTGAGATAGTACTCACAGAAAACCAAAATCAAACCAGCCTTATACTAGAAATTTTTTTTTAAAAAAAAAGAACTCTATTCAGAAGAGACAAGAATGACATAGTGTAGTGCTGAACGTGTAAAAAAAACAAAACGGCAAGGTGTTTCGTCTTTCAATGTCGACGTGGGGTTTCCAGATTCTTGCAACAGAGTTAGATGACTAGTTCCAAACAGTGTCTGATTTCTCCTCCAAAATTTTCCTGGATGTATATTTTAACAGCCAATACTTAGTCTCTCTTGGAAGCACAGAGATCAAGAAGAAAATTGTTCAGAGCCAGTCAGGCACTAGGTGGAAGACAGAAGAAGGAAAGTAGCTAAGAACCACCTAGAAAAGAAAGAGGAACAGAGCAAACCCCCTGAGGGAGAAAAAAGCAGTCAGATTCTTCTGTGCGCCGCCCACTAGATGGCGCTACCAACCAGGACAGCTTGGCTGCCGCCCAGTTTAGCTGGGGGGAGGGGGGAAGATGGGTCGCGTCCGCTTCCAACCCACACAGCTCAACGTGATGAGCGTGGCTCTACCTCTCGGGGACTACACTGTCCCCGGGCCAGCGGCAAAAGAGGTTTACGCATGAACTGGATCACTAGGCATCACTTAGACTCTACTTCTCATTCTGTCTCTTCCTTTTTGTTCAGAAACTTTGGCTTATAATTCAGCGAACTAAAATCTCTCAAAGATTTATTTTTTTTATTTTTATTTTTTTTAAAACGTTTATTTATTTTTGGGACAGAGAGAGACAGAGCATGAACGGGGGAGGGGCAGAGAGAGAGGGAGACACAGAATCGGAAACAGGCTCCAGGCTCCGAGCCATCAGCCCAGAGCCCGACGCGGGGCTCGAACTCACGGACCGCGAGATCGTGACCTGGCTGAAGTCGGACGCTCAACCGACTGCGCCACCCAGGCGCCCCTCTCAAAGATTTAAACTAAAGAAATTGCAACGAGAAGGGTAAAGAAAAGGTAAAGTGTTTTTCTCCTGGACTTTCCACATAATTAAGAGATGCTGCCTTATATCAGACCTCTAAAGGTTAGTAAATGTTGAGAAACACCAAAAATTTCTTAACACAAAAAGAATGAATAATACGGTCTTAAAGTGGCAGCTGCATATCCTCCAAAAAGATGGGAAGTATTGCAATACAGACGAAATGACCTGAAATATTTACTTTATGTACACATCACCTGCACAGAGCAATTAAGGCAAAAGCAACTACACTTAACGTTCCTTGCAGAGATAGGCTCTTATTCTCTCACACCTTGTATTTATCAAGAAGTATGAAACGAACAGCTAAGACGAAGAACATAGAGGGGCCTAAACCTATGCTAGTATTATGACTAGACTAGAACCAGATTCTGATCGTGTAAAAGAAGGGAGTACGCAAAAGAAAAATTATTTAGAACATGTCGATACAACAATATTCCTTTGACAATATTTCCAAAATGTGTGGATTGGTGGTGGGACAGTATCTAAGAGTAAAAATAACAGCTGTGATTTTAACACATGAAACAAGTGGGAAAAAAAGTAAAATGTCACTGAATATGATCTATTCGCCAATTACTCTGTTTTAATCTATGTTGAGGACTTTCCCGACCACATAAACATATTTTCCTCTGAACGCTTAGTCTCTGACACTGTCGTTAACTCTCTGCATTCCAACTGATAAGGACTCTGCACTACACACGGCAGTGATTAAGAAATATATGTTCAAAGCTGACCTAGAGACACCCCCAGAATACACTGAAATCTAGACTTAAAAGCCCCACTCCCAAATAAACAAAATCTTTAGAAAAAAAGCCTGACGTTGTTAAGTGTCCATGTTCACTCTTACTCACCTGGTACTGCGCCATTAATGCCAATGGATTATTATTCTGACTGTTATCAAATGTTAAAACATCAAAAACTCCAACACAATTTACTCGCAACCTTTAAAGACCAGAGAATTTAAACAAAATTATTAAACTGAGATTTTAAAAAAGTTCAGCATTTCCTATATTAGGAAGGATCTCAGAATCTTATGTAGTCTAACCTCCTATCCTACGCCCATATAACCTCTTTCAACCGCCATTTTAGAGATGAGGAAATTAAGGCTCACAGATACCAAGCGATAGGCCTATGGGTGTAGAAGTCAGTAACTGATAAGGCCAGGACTGGACTGTTACACCTTCGACTACCAGGTGAGTGGTCTTTTCACCACACCAAGCTGCTACTTTATCAGTGATTCACGAAAGAGAACTAATTAGCTTTCTAACATTTACTGAAGATGTATTAGGCACCATTCACGTGTATTGATCATTCAGTTTTACATGTATTAGTCATTTAATCCTCTCAATAATCTTACGACAACAGGTACCTCGTAACTGTGGAAAGTAGAGATACCAATAGTCTTCTATGGTTGCTGCACACACAGAAGTTACAGAATTTGCTCAGGATCATACAGACAGCAACTAAGGAGACTCGGTATGATGAACCCGGCTAACCAGGTACCAGACCTTGAGCTCTTTATGTTATGCTGTCCAAAAGAAGTCTCAAAATCACAGCAACTCAAATAAAACTCTGGTGAAGTCAAGGGCTATGCTCCTTAACTTGGTATCAGTGGTCCTCAAAGCACTGGACCCAATGAGCAGCAACAGTATCACATGAGAACTTGATGGAAATATAAATTCTCAGGCCCCACTTCAGATTCACTGAAGGAGAACTCTGGGAGTGGAGCCCCATCACGTGTGCTTATTAATGAGCCCTCCAGGCAATTCTGTTTCATGCTACAATCGGAGAACCACGGTTGTACATAGAAAAGGTATACTGATATCACTTCTACATCCAGCCCCTGACCCTAACTATGTATACGTCCCAAACTTTTACATGATTCCTGGTTAATGACCAGGCATTGTATTCTTAAGAATTCAGCATTTTTTTTTTTTTTTAACTTACAAATGGACTCAAAGTCACAGCAGTTCTTCTGGATGGAATATACGAAAAGGTAGAATTAAACGAATCATCATGCTTTGTTTACTAAACTGTCACAGGTTAGACGCTCAATGAAGAAGCCAAAACTCAAAATGGTGGTACCTTGTTTTGCCAGTTATCAGAATCTTTGTTGGGTCCATAACTCGACACGCCAAACCTGCTGTGTGAATGGTACGCAACGCAGAACTCAGTTGGACAATATAGGCCCAAATAAGAGATTCTGGCAATAATCCGGCATGCTGTCTGGGTAATGGTCCATCATGTTGACCTATACAGCAAATAAATAAAAAACGACACCTTTTAAGTAACCCACTAAAAGACTAAAGAAGTCGCACCAAAATTAACAAAGAAAATCCATGCATCATGGCACAACTTGTCAATATATACATACACATAAAATTTAAGTTCAGTCTGTTAGTAAGAGGAGACCCCCAACTTCCTATTCATGAGATTATACCTTTATGCTGTCAGCAGCAGCACAACTCTCACTGAAATGTTTTCTGTGAACCTTGTAATTACTGAACAATAAAGAAAATTAAAGGATTTATATTTAATGTGAACCAAATAAATGTAAATTCTGATTACAAACAGGAATGATGGATATTATTTTACTTAAAATGTGGATGATCCTGGCCTATGTTATTGTTCAGGCAGGTGAAAACTGCTCATTCTATGCCTTGAAAGAAAAATAAAAGCCTCTACTATCATTGACGCTGAATGTTTTCTTACTCTCCTTAAACTGCTCGTCTCCTCTCTTACAGCCATGTCAGTTAGGATGACATCCGACTCATAAAAATATAAATGTAAAAACCTGACTATCACTTATGTCTAATAATGAAACACAAAAATAATCTGATCTACCATGACAGTAATCATTTTGATTCTACCAACTCTTGTTTAAGTGCTTCCTCTTCTTTTGTAATGAGAGAGAGAGAGACACACACACACACACACACACACACACACACACACACACACACACAGAGAATCCTAAGCAGCCTCCAAGTCGGCAGAGAGCCCAATGCCACTGCGGGGCTCGATCCCACAATCCTGGGATCATGACCTGAGCCAAAATCAAGAGTCAGATGCTCAACCGACTAAGCCAGCCAGGTGCCCCTCAGTGCTTCTTGATACTATTTTCTGGGTCACTGTCAAGCCTTACACATCAGTGGAAAAGGAGCCACATAAATTTAACCCAGATTTTCTAATTCTTTCAGGGAATATGACCCCTTATAAATTCAATTCAAGTGTTCTTAGGGTTGTAAACAAATTTTTTGTGAATCAGGCATAAAAGCAACACAGTTAAATGGTTAATTGTGGAGATAACAAATAGCAGAATTTCTGGCTTGGGATAAAGTTTCCAAGGAAAAGCAAATACAAAATTGAAAAGTTGCTCTCCCTCAATTTAGACAGATTAAAGATAGTACAATCTGGAAAACAGTGTCCGAAGTGGCGCTAGTGAGAACTGCCAAGACATCGTCAAAGAGGACTATGAAGAGTTTAAATAAAACTATTTGATAAATGTGGTAATAAGGAAAAGCAGTATTTATAGCCAACAGTGTTTTGCTTGCTCTGAGCCAGATTCTGTCTTTACCTGTATACTGTTAACAGCAGCAGAGTTACTTTACCCACGTTACCTCACTTCAAACGTTTTTTTTTTTAAGTTTATTTTTATTTATTTTGAGAGAGAGGCAGAGAGCAAGCAGGGGAGGGGCAGAGAGAGAGAGAGAGGGAGACGGAATCTCAAGGAAGCTCCGCACTGTCAGCACAGAGCCTAGTGCGGGGCTCAAACTCACAAACCACGAGGATCATGACCTGAAGCAAAGTCAAGAGTTGGATGTTCAACCGAACGAGCCACCCAGGGTGCTCCTTCTTATCACAACCCTTATATAGTATGGTATGATTATTATTTCCGTTTTCTAAATTAGTATATTTCTTATAATACAAAATTTTTTAGTTTGTGCTAAGTGAAAGAGTGTAAGAAAACATTAGACTTCCATCTATAGCTCTCCAAAATTATAATTTATCTTTTAACAGTTATAAAGGGAAACTAGAGAATTGCCTTGGAGTAGAAGTTGCTACAAATTAAAGGACGTATGCTATGTCCAGGGAAACTACTAGCATTCAAACAATACCTTTAAATAACAGAAAAAGGAGTGATTCGTGTGAAAATGTAAACATTTCAAAATGTATCAAATAGTCAGTTAACACCAAAAATAAAGATAAAAAAAAAAAAAAAACTGGAAAGGAGTGCTAATATTCATGGTTCTCAACAGGGGTCCATTTTGCCCCTCTGGAAACATTTGGCAATGTAGGGAGGAGCTATTTTTGGTGTCACTACTGGAGAAGGGGCCTGCTACTGGCATCTAAAGGATAGAGGCCAGGGACATGGCTAAATATTGTGGAATGCACAGACAGCCCCCACAAAAATAATTATCCAGCCCTAGATGTCAACAGGGCTGAGGTTGAGAAACCCAGCTATAAATTAAAGCCAACAGTCATTTCACAGGTGCTACTACTAAAATAAACTTGAACAACTACAGCTATATCCATCTATAGGAAAAGTTATACCACATCCCCTTCAACAAAATTATGTATGTGTCTAAAGATGACACGGCAAAAGAAAAAAAAATGACCACACCATATGACCCGATTTTTAATGCCAAACAGCCATGTAACCACAGCTTTCTTCTTCCAACTGTCAGAAAGCAAAGTTACAAGTAAACAAAAGTAATATTTCGTCCACAATTCAAATCCTTAAAGGAGTCACAATCCAAAAGAGAATATACTGTGGACTCACATCTTTCTTCCTCCTTAATTTCTCTCAGTATGTGAGTCAAGAAAATCTTTAAAAGATTAAAAACTACAGTAAAAAATGCAATGCTTTAACTGTACTTCAATTAGTAAAATTTTTTAAGAGACTTCAATGCTTTTTCCCTGCCCCCAAACAAGAAAATGATACATACATTTTCCTTACCCAAATACCTAATTAACAAACATCTCAAAATGGATGACCTACCTACTTTGACTCTGAAGCAATTTACCCTCTAATAAACATTTATTAGAGCATAATTACAATATTTTGGTTCTCTTAAGTACTGGAACTATACATATTAGAAAATATCCCATTAAAGTAAATGTTACCTGAAAATTTATTTTGAAGATTAATTCCTTAAGTAACATGCAGTCCTACCTTTTAAAAAAACTTGTTTAGGGAAATCACTTCATAAATGATATATAGTCACACTGGGCTATAATAAGAGAGTCATTAAATTATATCCAGAAAATACAAAAGTTAGGGGGAAAATACTTATAACAAATGAAAGATGAAATGCTACAATGATATAATGAAATGATATAAAGAAAAGGAGGGGCGCCTGGGTGGCGCAGTCGGTTAAGCGTTCGACTTCAGCCAGGTCACGATCTCGCGGTCCGCGAGTTCGAGCCCCGCGTCGGGCTCTGGGCTGATGGCTCGGAGCCTGGAGCCTGTTTCCGATTCTGTGTCTCCCTCTCTCTCTCTGCCCCTCCCCCGTTCATGCTCTGTCTCTCTCTGTCCCAAAAATAAATAAACGTCAAAAAAATAAATAAATAAATAAAAGAAAAGGAAACAATGTGACAGGAGACCAAAAAACAAAACAAAACAAAAAAACCAAGACTGGAAAGACATATACCAAGAGAAAATGTGGTTGTACTTTGGGTGGTGAAGCTATAGGCGTTATTTTCCAAAATGCCTTTATCCAGAAAGCTTTGTAGTTTTATTTTATTTTTTTAATGTTTATTTATTTTTGAGAGAGAGAGAGAGAGCAAGTATGAGCGGGGAAGGGGCAGAGAGAGAGGGAGACACAGAATCTGAAGCGGGCTCCAGGCTCTGAGCTGCCAGCACAGAGCCCGATGTGGGGCCCGGACCCATGAACCTCAAGATCCCGACCTGAGGCCAAAGTCGGACGCTCAGCCGACTGAGCCACCCTGGCGCCCCCAGAAAGCCTTGTAGTTTTAAAAGAAAAAACCAAAATGTTTAAGAGGAAAACACTTTCACCACATTCTCAGTTATTTACATTTCAGACACCTCCACGAGTCTTTCACACCCTGCCTCCATACTCAGCCTATACACACAATAACTCTATTTCCCAGCCGCTTATGGACTGGCTTCGATTCTTTGAGACGTTTCTTTTTTTAATGCGCTATGATCACAGAAACAAATTCACGTGCACTTTAAAATAGAAAACCACTCTTCCACAGAGCAAAGGCATTTGTCAAAATGAATCTTGCTTGCGTGTCTTTCTTACCCCACTTTCTCTTTGTGAAATAGGCATCAGCATTAGGGTCATTGAAGTGTCTGCTCATCATAGTCTCTCCTCCCGCATGGAAATCATATGCAAACACAAGGGCTTAAAATAAAACACAAAACACTCATTATTGCAATCTGGCTTCAAGTAATGAAGCCCACAAAAGCAGAAAGACAAGTACAAATTACTCACAAGGCTCTGCAAATGCTTTAGTGGTAAATACTTCACGCAAGGTTACGATATTTGAGTGCTGAATTTTTTTCCACATATCGACCAACACCATGCACTTTGTGTTAACGAGACGAAAACCTATAAAAGGAAATTTTTTCTACTAAACTGCAAATGAAATCCCTCCTTTATTCCATCAGAATCGTGAAGAGAAGGCCATGTGATATATCATTTATGAGCTACTAATTTCCAAATGAAATAACAAATTTATTTATTATCCCTTATACACATATTAAATAAATAAATACATGCGGGAATATTTCAATAATCTTAGCCTCAACCATATGCTTCAAAGAGTGGCTAACTTATCTTCCGTACCGTGTATCCTCCGAAGGCAATACGGCAGATCGTCTTTGCTGTTTACAGCTTTGTAGCAAGATGTGATGTATCCAAAATTACTTGATTTCTGTATCCGGTTGGGCGGCGGCAGTGGTTCTAGAGGGAACAGGCTATGGTAGCTGTCAACTTCTGTAGGGACTGCTAGAGTAATTCGTAAAAGACAACTTTAACTTGCTGATATGCATAAGTCTCTCAGAGCAAAAAAGAAATCGAATTTACCATAAACCATGGGTATCAAAACATACTTTTGAATTCTGGAACAGTGTCAACACTCATAACAATTCTATAAAAGAAAATGGTTTCATTATCAATAAAAAATAAGCATTACAGAACAACCAAAGAACCAGATTTCATACACTCAGAAAATTTTTTTAAAATTTCTTACATAGGTTTCACACCCAGCCCAGGGCCCGACACGGGGCTTGAACTCATGACCCTGAGAGCAGGACTTGAGCCGAGATCGAGAGTAGGATGCTAAACAGACTGAGCCACCCAGGCGCCCCTTGAAAATATTTATCTTTTATAGCACCACACAACTTTTTGTTTCTCAGTTATTAGAAACAATTTGTGTTATCACTTATAGGTATTAAACATTTCTGATTTTGATTTTGCTTCTTAAAACACTTTGGTTTGCACAAAATATATTTAGACAATGGTGTTAAGCATATGAATTCTTGTTTTTTAAAACATACAGAAATTCAAAACAAGTAACATTAAATTGGAGAGTGTGTATGTGTAATGTATCTGTGGGTATATGTATGTATAAATATGGCAATCTATCAAGACTTTCAACCATTCAGTGGAACAGCACTGTTTTACTCCCTAGTAAAACATAAAAGAAAGAAAATGAAAACAACTTTATCCTCATGATTTCCACGTTCTTCAAAGCAAGAAAAATTATGTTTAAGAATAGCTAGGATAATGCATTGTAATTGGCTCATGATACTCTAGTCAGGCATTTAAAAAACTATTTATCTTGAATCCCAATCTGTTGTTTCTTATAAGGACTAAATAGGGGCGCCTGGATGGCTCAGTCAGTTTAAGCATCCAGATCGATTTGGGCTCAGGTCATGATCTCACGGTTCTGTAAGATCAAGCCTTGCATCGGGCTCTGTGCTGACAGCTCAAAGCCTGCTTGAGGTTCTCTCCCTCCCTCTCCCTCTCCGCCCCTCCCCTGCTCACTCGTGCTCTCTCTCTCAAAATAAATCACCATTTAAAAAAAAAAAAAAAGACTAACTGCATTCAGTGGTTGGTTTCTGTAAAGAGTACAGGCAATTTGCTTTTCTTTTTAAAGTTTATTTATTTATTTTGAGAGAGACAGAAAACCAGAGTGGGGGAGGGATAGAGAGAGATGGGTGAGAGAGAATCCCAAGCAAGCTCTGCACTCTGAGTGCAGAGGCCGACACGGGACTAGATCCCACAAACCGTGAGATCATGACCTGAGCAGAAACCAAGAGTCCGAGGCTTAACCGACCGAGCCACCCAGGTGCCCCTATGTTTTCTTCTTTACCGCTCCCTATTTTCTGATACATACATGCATCAGTTTTGCAATTCAAAAAGAGGAGGATTTTTTTAATGCTTCAAATACAACCAAATTACATTTCCCAACGGAACAGCTTCCATTCTCCTAAATGTCTTGAATGACTTAGGAATACTCAAGAGATTTCAAATGAAAAGCAGGTAAGTGAACATGCACAGTACACACAGAAAACCTTCTAGAAAGAACACAGCAAGAACTTCAACAATGGTAACCTCTGAGTGGGAGCACTGTTATTCTCTTTACACTATGCCATACTTCCCAAACTTTTTACAATAAATATGCTTAGCACTATTTTTAAAACACGTCAATAAATCTCTTTCTAAAAAACACACAGACTAATATGACTAACAATTTTTCACTGAATGCCTGTTAAGGAATACAGGTTAAAACCCTAATCAGAAAACTGTAACTCCAGAAGACAGGCTCATAATGGCCCTTCCGCCTTTGCTAAATTGACATTCACCATCTCTTTGTTTTCAAAACAACCACAGGAGACAGAACTCTATTTCATAAAGAAAATAAGGATCACACATCTAGAAAGGGAGTTGGGATGCAAACTCAGGGCTCTGATTCCAGAGTCTCGTGCTCTTAACCCCCAGACGGCATTTTGGCCAGAGTGCAAAAAACAGACACTGATTCAAACAGACACTAACTTTCAAAACAAGGTCACGTGACATATTCTACTGAAATAAAGGCAGTACAAGGGAAGTATACACACAAGGAAATGCAGCTGCAACTTTGCCCATTTATCTTTTATTTTAACAATCAGCGTAATTTCCACAAACAAATGATGAATAAATTTTGTTCCCTGGTTATTTCATGAGGAGCATCTAGTAAGAGAAGTAATTAATTTCAAATTAGTGAAAAGGTAATGAGTGCCTACTCATTAATGAAATACAGGTTCTTATCAAGACAGGTTATTAATCAAAACAGGTTATTAATTTTGATTAATAAGGTCTTATTCAAGACAGGTCTTAATCAAGACAGGTTATTAACTTATTAATACAGGTATTAATGAAATACAGGTTCTTATCAAGACACTAAGAGAAAAATAAAGGACAGAGATCTATATGGAAACATAATACAGTACAAGGAAAACAGCTATTAAAAAAGTACAACTCACCATGGCACTGGCTCTTAAACTTCAACACCCTTCAGAGTCACTGACAGTGATAACGATACACAGTTTGCTGGGCCCCATGCCCAATGTTTACTTAGTTGGTCTACAGTAGGGCCCGAGAATTTGCAATTCCAAGAAGTTTCCAGGTAATAATGAAAAGATGCTGCTGGGGCAAGGACCACATTCTGAGAAGCACTACGCATGGAAATACCCAGAAGGAAGCCATTCTCAAGGATCCTAGAAAAGATCTCACAGAGGATTTGGTATGTGTACTACAAACTGAAGGATGAGACTGCTCACAGTGATACTCCACAACGAGCGAACGAGCACTTTGCTTTGTGGTGAGGGAGTAAACAGAACCACCACCGCCACCCAGGCCTCGATGCGTATACCGTGTTCAGGAACCGTGAAATCTCACGCGGGGGGGAGAGCAGGGTGTATTACAGAAGAGGTACAACGTGGAGAAAAAGCTGAGGGGGTTCTGTTGGGACTGGATCAGAGGGGAATATAAATGCTAGACTGAGGACCTGCAATTCACTACGCCAAGCAGCGGGGTCATAGCACCAGCGTGTGACAAAGAGATTGAGGGAGGGTCACAATCAGCTAAAAATTGTACTAACTCCTTTGTCCCTGTGTGCCCTTTCAAGCAAGGCTTGTCGAATTCTCTGCGTCGCGGGGTGGAAAAACTCGTGCTTCAGTGGAAGACCATGGAGTATCCAATGGATGGCTTTTCGATGTCTGATTCTGATGCCATGGAAGGTATTTTGCACCTCTGTAAACTGCACACAGGTAACTGGCAGCACTGCAGAAGAACGCCTGCCTCCTCCGTGGAAAAGCCAGTTTGCACACGCATTTCGACACCCCTGAGCTAGTAGTAACAGGTCCTACAACCGGCTCCCTCACGACTTAAATAAAATCTTCAAAACGTTCATTTTTATGTCTGTACATATGGTGTTACCTTGTTTCAGAAAGTCATCTTTGAACACTACATTTCCCAGTCTACCCTGAAATGATCGTATGCAGCCTGATATTAACCTTAAAAAACCGAACGTTTCCACTGATAGGAATACTCACTGTCGTTTTGCTCTTCGTTTCCAGCTCAACTTAACAAATACATAAAATTAAGTATGAATAAAGGGAATAGGGGGTGCCTAAATCACTGTTAGGCCATCAAAAGTCAGACTAGGGATACCAACGTGTAAGATTATGGACAGAGCTGCATTCTTCACGTCAGCCCCAAGTTTTAGTCTGGGGTCCAATTCCACCAAGTAATAGTAAAAACAGTGATAAAAAATAAAATGAAATGTTAGTGTCTTTGCTCTATTCAACCCTACCTCCCCTCGAAGGACATATAAAATAATAGGTCCAATCTAAGATATCGAATGTCTGAGATTCACTACGGTTTCTCAACCTTGGCCCTACTGACATACCAGACTGGATCACTCTCTGTTGTCAGGGACTGGTCTGTGCACTGCAGGGTGTTCGGCAACCCACTGGTAGCCAGCAGCACCCCACCGCCAGCTGTGACAACCAAAACCGTTCCAGACACGACCAAATGACCCGTGATGGGGTAACCACTCCTGGTGCAGAAGCACTGATCTACAGGAAATAAATTATGACTTCAAACTTGAGAAGTACTAATCTGGTGGGAACATGAGCTATGAAATGGAAAACGGAGAGAAAAAAGACAGCAAGACCAAATATTAATGCATGGGTCAGCATGAGATGAAGATTGTAGTAAACAAAAGACATGAAAAAGATCAGTTAGAGCAGTGACCCCCACCCCCCCAAAAAGCATTTACTAAGCCTTGTGGAACATGGGGCACAGAAGCGGATTAACCATAACCTTTAGTCTGTGACACTCAGATCACTGGCTCGTGTCTACATAAAGCCTGGTTTTATGTAGTTAATTATTCTTAACAGCAGAATAAGCATCTGCAAACTCAGTACTCATCAGACCTTTAACTTACATCTAAATTATGGTTCTCTTTACCAACCTCTGCCTTCCTTCTCTCACTTCCTTCCTTTTTTATATGGCTGCATTGAACATAATATATACATAAGCATATACACATACATTTACATAAATGTAAATATATGTATAAATTTTGGTTAACTTTGTAAAAAGGTAGTATGCTGTATATGGTCTCTTGCAACTCACTTTACTTACTAATCTTCTTCTGGATTGTTGCAGCTCAGTGAACTTCCTTCCCTTCAGCTGCTGTACCACCTTCCATTAGCTGACAGCAGCACAGTTACTCTGGATTGATCAAAGTTTCTGCTATTTTGAGCGACAATGTTATGGATACTTCGTCATACATTTTGCAGCTGAAAACGTATAGGAGTTTACCTGTTTCCAGGAGGAGAAGTGCTGGATCACAGGTTCACCCAACTTATGCTCCCTACAGCAACGCACCAGAGAGCCTGTGGATCCATATCCTAACACTTTACACGACTGCACTTCAAGATGGCAGCTTACCTGAACTTTCCCTAATTGTCAGTGATGGTTCACATCTCGTCATACATGTACTGCTCATGTGAATTTCCTTTCTTTATGTGCCTATTCCTATCTTTTGGCCATTTTTCTGTTGAGTTTTTTATGCTCTTACTGAATTGTCTTTCTTATATTCTTTGTCAACCGTGTAAATATCTTCTTCCAGGTTTTTTCTTTACCGTGGGTATCTTTGGATTGCTTTTCATTCTAACTTAGTAAAATTTAGCAGTATTTTCTCTAAGAGTCAGCAATCTTTGCCTCCTGTAGAAGAAATCTTTCCCTACTGATATGTTAAATCTATTCGCTAATATTTTATAGTATAAAAAGCTTTTAAAGTTTTGTACACAAGTGCCCACCCCCTCGCTTTGCCCTGGGCATTTCTTCCATTTGGCTGTCCCTGAGCTGTAGCCTCTACACACTAAACCAGCAACAGGTCCTAAAGTGAATCACTCTAGCAAATTACTGAACTGGTGCGGCGGGGTGTGGGGGGAGAGTGGTGGTAGTGGTTATGGAAACCCCCAAATTGGTAGTTGGTCAGAATGTGGGTAGCCTGGGCACCCCACCTTGGCGGGCATCTGAAA